TGTGTATGCGCTGATAAAATGTACAACAATCTATTTGAAGGGAGTATGGGGATGTGAAAATTGAGGGTTAATTTCACTTTTTTGCTGTTTTTTCTGGGCAAAAGCATTACATCATTTTTGCATTTATTAAAATCCATCCTAAAACTCTTCTCTTTAAAAGCACAGTTTTAGCAGCTGCTCTACCTCCCATTCCCCCTTTGCATATTTAAAGTTTATTGATATTAATTTACATACCAAAGTCTACCCATTTTAAGTATCCACTTTACTGATTTTAATAAACATTACAGTTGTGCAACTATTACCACTCAAAAAGTTCCCTTCCACTCATTTTTAGTCAAATGTCTCCTTCCCTACCTCTATCCTGGCAACCTCTAACCCACCACTGTCTCTATAGGTTTGCCTTTTCTAGAAATTCACATAAATGGAATATAATTATGAAATCTTTTGTATTTGGCATTTTTTGACTTCACAAAATTTAAGAATTATCCACATTGAAACAGCTCATCAGCGTGACCCTTTTTATTCCTGTAGATACATATTTTGCCATAATGGTATAATTACAAAAGGAAATAAAGGTGCTTCCATTTTGAAATTAAAATAATAAAATATACTAAATATTAAAAGGGCTTTTGTCAAAAGAAAATAACTGTCAATTCCTTCAATACTATCAAAGACCACAAAACAGAAAGACACAAGCATACATCATTAAATTTGACAAAGACACCCTTAGGGACAGTATTTTAACTAGTAAAAAATAATCGTTTTCTTTTTTAGGACAATACAAACATTTTAAGTATTTCCACTGAGAACCTTTTCTCATTCTTTCCTTATTCTGTGCTCAACTGTTGAAATGCTGCTGAAAACATCTTAATAATTATTCACCATGCAAGCTATCAGGAGATTCAGTGCTTGTTTCAGAGATAAACTCTATTTATATATGCAAGGTAAGCCTAATTAGTCAAGTTCACAAAAATGTACTATTTGATTTTTAGAACCTAATGTGCTCAGGAAAGAATTTGTGCTTTTAAATTAAGGAGAACAGTTCCATATTTAATTAGTCCTCATTTGAGTATGTAATCATTTTAATTTATTTGCACAAACACAGGACATCGTGCTCCATCAGCAGATAATGTTCTTCATTAAGCAGAGTGGGAACTTCATGCACAGGGGCAGGAAAAATATTTCCATCTGTGATGCAAAGTCAGAACCGCATAGCACTGGATGTCATTCTTCAGGTTTTGTTGCGACCATCCTGAGATTCCTATTTAATAGTGACATAACACACTTTTGACTAAGTACCCTGCCATTGCCTAGAAATCAACAATTTGAGTACTTATCTTTCATCTTGCCTATTACCCAGTTATAAAATGGGTATGCAATTATTAATGAACAAAGTAACTGTCTGAAACTCAAGTAATAGTACTGTACTATAACTCTAATTTCAAAATTTTCTATGGTGCAGAAGCAGGGTAAATAAAAAATTTTTCATTGATGGTAAAAAAGAATAAAAGCCTGGACTGTAGTGAGAGGAGGCTAGGCTTTAGCTGTCTGAAAATAAATACTATATGCAGGACACACTGATAGGTGATTCTTATCTATTCATTAAAGGACTATGAACTTATTTTTCCTTAAAACATTTCCAATAAAAGTTGGTATCTGGGAGAAGGGGTTAGTAGACCATGTGTATTGGCAGAAGTTGCAGCCCTACATTTGGTTTAATGACCTGCACACAAGGCAAAAGTGTTTTGCACAGTGTTTGTTTTCCTGTCTTGAACTTACAAACAAGGTCTATGGGAACAGCATGGCGAGTATTTGCTGTTTCTCCCTTTTTAAAAAATTGCTTTTGTTTAAAATTTGATCACCTCAACTACTGTAAACACAGTCTACTTTTGTGCTTAAGATCTGGAATGGGAAAGTCCATTGTGTGCTGCTGGACTGCTTTGGAAATATTAGGTCAAATGTGTTAATTTGGCTGTAATGGCATTGAAAGCAAGCAAGCAGAAAGCCATGAAAATGGCCTTGAGCATTATCTTTAGTTCCTTTAAGAGTTTCTCATTTAATACAGTTTATATTAAAATGATTTTTATCAATTTAGAGAAATCAACGTCTATGAGAAATTGGACTTTCTTTTGCATTTTTTGTGGTCACTGTAGTGACTGCTTTTTCCGTTATCCTTTAGTTTCACATTCTTCTTTTATTCTAAAACTTGGACTGATATCCAGCTGATATCTAGCTTTGACAATCATAGCATGTTTTATTTTCCTGAGGGGGGAATAACTTGTAATGGTGTTTAAGTGTTGTGCTGTTGGTGTGTTGGTGAATTTTTAAAGTGTGTGCTAAGTGCAATAAATTACATGAACTGAGAAAAAATTGGTATCTTTTTTTTTTTACTCTCCCCAAATCCTAAATACACTCTAGAAAGAAAACAAATGTCTTGTCATTGTAAAGGTACTCATAAACGAATGAGTGTAAGACAGGTGGATTACTATTTGGGAATTACTGGTTGGGAACCAGCAGGAGGGAGGCAGGTGAATAAAAAGTACTTAGGGTTTTGCTCAACCAGTAACTGGGGCACAGTGGTGTGTGTGTGCCTGTCATGTCATCCCAAGATACAGGAGATGCTGAAATCACAGTTCCAGGCCATTATCAGCAAATAAATAAATAAACAAATAGTGAGATCCCACCTCAACAGAAAAAAGTTGGGCATGGTGGTATACACCTGTCATCCTAGCTACAGCAGGAGGCATAAAAACGGAGAGTGGGGGGTCCACGTTAGCTGGGAAAATGTGAGATCCTACCTCCACAACAACCAGAGTACAGAGGGCTGGAGGTGCAGCTCAAGTGGCAGAGCACCTGCCTAACAAGCACAAAACCCTGAAAAAAAAAAAAGCCTAACTTTAATGTAGGAGACAACTGATCTTACCTAGCATATTTGAGTTGATCAACGCCCATTAAGGTTAAAAATACAGATGTGCAAAATGCCAAGTATATAGTATTATTTACATTCTATTCAAAATCATGTCATTAGATACATTAAAAAAATCCTCAATGATTGGATGCCAGTATTCAAGAATAGTATTTTGAGATTTATAAAATTTTAGCCAGGCATGATGAAGCATGACTGCAATCTCAACACTCATGAGCCTGAGACAGGAGGATGCTGACTTAAAGGCCAGCCTGGACCACACAGTGAGATTCAGACCTCCCCCTCATTACCCACACTTTTCTTCTCTCCCCTGTCCTGCTATTCCCCTTCCTATTTAATTGTAAGTCCTCTTTCTTTTTTAATTATTTATTTTGATTCTACATGAGAGAAAACATGAGTCTGGCTTATTTTGCTTAAAACCATGATCTCAAGTTCCATTCATTTTCCTGTAAATGATGTTCTTCCTAACTGTTTTAATAATAGTATAAGGTAAATATGGTCAATGTGCCTTATATACATATAAGAAAATGTCATAATGAAACTCATTTTGTACAATGTACACTAATCAAAATAAGATTTATGCAGCTTTGCATCTGTACATCTGAAGAAAGAACATTTTCAAACAAACCCAAATTGCTCAATTAGAGTATCTTATAAAATTAATTACATGTCCTTGGCTTGCATTCATGCACAAACAACACACCAAAGAGCATGAGCTTGCCACTCTACTCACTGAGAAGACCTATAAGATATGACATATGTCAATCTGCCACCCCATATTGAGATTCAGTTACTCACCGGCAATCACTGGATGAACTTTAAGCTATGTTGAGAGTGTCTTTAATATTTAAAGGTACTTGTATGCTACTGGGATGACATGGGCCTTAAAGCAAGCAAGGTATTCTACCTGGTCCTTAATTGAAGAAACAGAAATATACTCTAGTACTCAACAAGAAGAATGCCACATAATTTTGAGATATAGTATCAGTCTTTAATGTATATATAAACATGACTACATACATTGTATTTTTTTACTTAAAGAGTTTTATAAGGGAAATTTTGGCTGCAGATGTCTCTTCAAGTATCCAAGCAAACTCTTGAACTGAGTCCTTGCATCAAATGCAACTTCAGTTTATGGCTGTTTTGTTGAAACAACAGCTAAATATAAAGTAGTTTTGGATCTAAATAAAAGATAACCAACAATAAAAACTCACTACAATAAGGATTTAAACCAAAAATTATTTTGTTGGGGAGGGGGCAACCAAATAATTGGTTGACAATTAAATGTTAAATCTAACTAAGAGTGAGAGAATTTAAATCCCAAAGCATCATCTATCCTGTTCAGTATGAAGAACTGCATATTAATAGAAGGCATTCATACATTTGCCTTAACAGGAACTGTATTCATAAATGAACTGAAAAGGCAAAGATGCTATCCAAAAATTACAATAAAAGTAATTTTCTAAAGCAATTTGGTAAGTTTGAAAACATAGTCCAAAACTAATTATTTAATATTTTTCTCCAGAAGATTAACAATCAATGAAGAAAAATATTTGATTCAAGAGATTAGGAATTATGATCTTATAGGAAATATATTTTACTTATTTCAATCTCTTTTTATTCCTGAAAACTTGCTCTACAAAGAATTATTAAAGCATCAATTAGCCATTTCTTTTTACTTAGCTTGAAAGTCTCTTCTTTAAACAAAGGTAACATTTTCCTTTCTATACCATGACATTTTCATGACTGATATCGACCTTTGCTCAGAACCAGAGGCAGTTTCCTCTAGGACAAAAACAGTGAACATACAGGATACAGTATTTTCCTATAGATTCTCCAGCAAGACATTTTAACAACATAAATTAGATAAATTTAATATAAGGAAAAATGAATTTAAAATAAATTGCTTCTCATTTAATCTTTTTTTTTTTTGGGATTCTATACCAGATGACTTCTATTTTTAAATTCTAAGTTAAATTGGGAGTCAAAAATCAAACCTAAAGAAAGTGAGACAGAGAGAACAGTGATTCAGTAAAAGTAAACTCAATGACACAGTTAAAATTAATTGGGAAAGTTTTAATAAGCATCAAATGAACTTTACATTGACAACTGAAATACTGAAATTGTGAAATTTTAAATATTTTTCTCAAAAAAAGTTAGTGATTTTCTTTCTCCTGGGGAACATGGAGACCCAACTAAGTATTAATGTGGTCAGTTGAGTTTCAGTTAACACTAATACCTAAACAGCCTACAATAAGGTAGATTGTGAACTTCTAGTATCTCTGAATTTTAGCAAAAATTTCCAAAGATAATTTATAGGAATGTCAAATTTTTGAAGTGCAAGACAAAACTCTGTATTGGGATTTTTGTTTTCCTTCAGTGTAAATAACTTGAGAACATAGCAATTATTCCTTCCTAATTCTTTGGAGAAATACTTCTGCAGTAAGTCCTGTTTCTTCTTTACTGTATGTAACTGGGTTGTTTGAAAGAAAAATTATCAGCTTTTTTTTCAACTAGTTTCCTTATTGATAAAAATCTATCAAAAACATCATAATATAATTTGTAAAGAAAAAAAATGGTTTTCAAAGGCTGCAGGATCAGGAATGAAATAGCACTTCTTATTTGTATAAGCACAAACACTTAAAGCTAGCCACACTGTAGTTAAATCCATACAGTATTCAGATGTTCTATAAAAATGAACCAAAGATACGTTTACTTCCATTGCTCCAATAGTCTACTGGAGATCTGTATGAGAGTTGAGCTGCAGCAGTTTGCTGGTCCAATTAAGAGTTCAAGGTTCTTTTTATGTATTTGGCCTGCTGATGTCCACATTCCAGATAAATTCAGTTCAAAAGACAGAAATCAGGGCAAAGACTCCATATAACAATGCACAAGGATATGCTACTAAAAGTTGCTGTCCTTCCATGGCTAATGCAGAAATAAAAATCTTGGAAGCAGAGAAACTACACCATCCAATAATCCCTGCAGTGAGAATGATTCCTACCATGCCTCTGTAACCAACCAAAACGAAAAGGGAGGAGAAAATAAGACAGATGAGATTAGATATACAATGCAAGAACATTACAATAACCTGTAAGAAAAGCATTTTAAACAACATATCCAGAAATTATCAGGACTTTTCCAAATGTTAAAATGTACTTTGCGGAGAATTTAATGATGCTGAATTATTTCATGTGAGAAATAGCTCATTTATAAATATATATATATTTTTAAATATAAGGTTTCTCAAACCTTTGTACTATGACAATATGGCTGTATATATTTTTGTTGTAGGATCTGTCCTGTGTGTTGTTAGGACATTCAACAGCATTGGTGGCCTCTACCCATAAGCTATCAGCTTCCCTGTCCCTTGACAGCTGTGATACCAAAACTGTCTCAGATATTGCCAAATGTCCCCTGGGAGGCAAAATTCTTTCTGGCCAAGAAACACGATTTTAGTTATTACAACATAACTTTTGTAAAATGCAAGTATTAACATACCAACTCTTAACAAGTAAGAAAAATAAAGCAGTTTCTTCCCTCAAAATCCACAGCATTTTTATCCAAAGAAGGAATACTATAAAACCACCATCTTGCCAAATTTCTTGTATCAAACAGTTGATTCATGCTCTTTCATTTTCATTTTCTAAGTATAACTTTCTTTCCAAGTATAACAAAGCCTAGTCATGGTAGTGTCCAGCACTAGCCAGAAGGAGGTGCTTGAACACTTGAGAGAAAATATGCACACTGGCCACAAAAGGATCTTCATCAGTAGTAATTTACACCTTTTTTTTTTTTAATCTAACCTAAAAGAGCATTTAAAAGATTATGCACACTTAAAGATGCTTACAAATACATCTGAAATATGAAAGCCTCTTTCAAGAATGTGTTTCACAGACCATTATAAAGCTGCTGAATAGAGAATATGTATGTATTATTCAGACATTTCCAATAGGCCTAATGGCTTCAAGAAACCTGACATGGAGCAGATAGACAGTCCACACCATGTAGGCTGTTTGGTAATAAAAAAGAAAAAAATTACAAAAAAAAAAAAAAAAAAAAAA